ATGTACATTGCAAGGAAGACCTTGATGACCAATGAAAGATTCCTTGTCACCAAGATAGTACTCTGTTCTCTAGAAGCTCTGAAGATTGACAGATGTGAGTTCATTTGCATCAAAATCATGACATCAAACTGGCCAGAAACTCAATAAAACTCTCAGGAAGGCACCCACAGGACAAGTCTCTCAGTGCATGAAAGTGTCCCCTAAAGTCAATGCTATGCTGATGGCACTTAAAGAGGCCCAAGGTTTTTTTATTCACAAGAGAAATGAAAGCTGAGTTCAGTGCTCAGAGCTTTGTATTAGGGGAATTCTGGATACATGAGCTCCATATAGAAGGCGACCATGCCTTTTATTTTACAGGGTGTTCCCATTTCTCATTCTATATAAGCAAGCACAGGTGATGAGTAAAATATTTTTGTTCACTAAAGGAATAAAAAAAAGGAAAAGGAAGATGCCATTCATACCGACTGAAGCCAGGTTTCTCAAGGTTTCCATCATCACGTCTCTGTAGAGTTTCCTCTGAGCAGGATCCAACAAATCCCACTCTTCGTGGGTGAAGACCACAGCCACATCTTCAATGATCATTGTACCCTAAAACATCCCACACATTCTAGGTCAGCGAAGCAGCACAGACTAAAACATGTCTCAGAACAAAAGGTGAGGCTGCCATTCCTGGGACATAAGATTCCACAGGTACGTAACATCAGGTTCTGTGCTCTCACGAGATCTGCTCTAGGGAACAACGATCCGCTTTGTTCTTCACTGACGCCATTCATTTCCTCACTGACAGCTTCTTGTCTCAAAAACTACCAACACATATTGGCTACCCAAATTGGGAGGGGAGGAGGGCTACAAAGGGAAGAAGTGACTGGCTTACAAGCTTTCAAGAGGGAACCTAGATTCAGAGGGCATGGACCGAGGTAGAATCTCCACTGAGCAGCATCTAATCTGTCTAGGCGGGGCTGATGGATGCAGATAGGTCTCCTGTGATAGGACAGTGAATAATTGTTAACAGGACTGATTGTGAGGGTTGCAAATGTAAAGGTGGATGTTTTGTAGCAAGCAGGGGAGTCATTCACTTTACAGTCTAGAAGCAGAGGTCCCTGGGACTTTCGGGAGCCAAGCCCCTATTGCCGTTTGACACAGTCCCTGCAGAGAAGTGGCATCAGCAGGGTACATGTCTTTTGGGAATACACCCGTTGTCTCTTTTCTTGGGGTAATTCGGATTCCACTTGTGGGCATATATTGTATTGCCACATTCACAGCTCTCACTGAGTTCTCCAGAGCTTAGCAAAAACCAGTCTTGCAACAATTGTCTCAACTTTACTGGATCAGACTCAAAGGGAATTTTAGATAAACTAAGGTAGCATGACCTATTCCCTCCCACAGAAAAACCCGAATATGAAGCAGCT